ATATTGCTTTAAAAATGAGGGCTACTGTTATTTTTAGGCTTGTTGAGCTGATAATAAATTAGTCATTTAAAATATGTTATCTCCTTTCATTATACAAATTAGTCTTAATAAGTTGTAAAACTTTAAATATGTTCAAATGGCTATTAAAGCCAAATATTAAAGAACAAAATTTCCCCATTTTGTTTGAGCAACAGACTCATCATAATCCCTTCTGTCTTTTTTTTTTTGGGCAACATATTAAAGACATCATAGTCCTTATTTTTTTGGTAACAAACACATCATACTACTTATTTACTTTGGAAACAAACACATCACAATCCTCTATTTTTGGAAATAAACTTATTATAATCCTTGAAATTGATTAAATGTGTCAACATAGTTATCCACCGTTGATTTGCTCTTTCATCCAACAACATACAAGTTCAATCCTCGTGATTTTCTTCTCATTGGCTGGGTTATAAGTCCTGTGGGCTATAAATACCAAAGCCAGATTGCTTTAGGAATTAACATACACACACAACAATTCAATTCTTCCGCTTCATTTGTCTCTTGTTTTTATAGATCAAAAAGCAAAACTTTTTTTTGTAGTGAAAAAGATCAATGGCCGGTAAAGGGAAAAATCTTGGTTCAAATGCTAAAAGAAGATCTCGTAGCAGCAAAGCTGGCCTCCAATTTCCAGTGGCTCGTATTGCCCGATTCCTCAAAGTCGGGAAGTATGCCAAACGTGTTGGTGCCGGAGCACCGGTATTCCTTGCTGCTGTGCTTGAGTACCTTGCAGTTGAGGTGAATTTCTCAAGTTCCTTCTCTCTATCTCTTTTTGATATGTCGAATTTATAGGATTTGTGATTACTAAATTTTACATTTATGTGACTGTTTGTAGGTGCTTGAATTGGCTGGAATTGCAGCGAGGAATGACAAAAAGACTCGGATCATTCCAAGGCACATTCAGCTAGCTATTAGGTTTGATAAAGAGCTGAATCAATTTCTTAGAGATGTGACCATTCCGAATGGTGGTGTTATTCCAAGAATTCACAACATTTTTCTGCCTAACAACAAGAGTAACACTTCAAAGGCCGTTGCTGATGCTGCTCACGAGGAGGAGGATTAAACTGATCATTCCATTGCTAGCATCGCGATGTTTGCTTTTATTAATCTCCTTGTATTCATATAAATTTTATAATTCTATAATATAAAACCTGTTATAAAATAATATATTGTGGATGTCCACTACATCAAGAAGTTACTCCATACTTTCCTCCATTATGAAGATAACCATAACCTCCATAACCTCCACCTTTATAACCATTATTCTTGTAACCTTTCACTTTCATAACCTCCCCGTTATATTCATATTAATGTCATGTTTATGACTAACCTTTTGTATGCCTCTATGTTACACTATAAATAGAGGCATAAGGGTTCATATTGTATAGACTTGAAGATTTGGTGTACACTTGAAAGAAAGAAAGTTATCTCATATTGTTCCTCTTGTCTTATATTCTTCTTGTCTTTATCTTTATATTGTTCTTTTGTTCTTAAGTTTTACAACACGTTATTAGCACGAGTTGCTCATTCTCCATCAAGAATCAATGGTAGGTATTTCTTGATTTTTATGAATTATCCTAGTAATTCTTCGGCTTCAAGGTATACTTCATATCCTATATATTATTTGTACTAACAAAGCTTGTTTTGTGGGTTATTTAAAATGGTTAGTAAATTATGATAATCTTCATAACAACATTGTGAGGGACTATTAAAATGTTTTAATTTATTTTACTTGAGATTTTTTTATGGTTCCAACATGTTGTTCTAATTAATTAGTTTTGTTCATTTTAATTTAATTTTAAGTCAAATTTAGATTATGTTTATGATATTCAATATTTATTTTTGGTAATACATTTGGTTTATTAAGACACTGGTTGAGGATAAGATGGTGAATTCAGGTTTCACTGCACCAAGTTGGTAAGACATTGAGTTAAAGTCTCGATGCACCATGATAATAAGAAGTTGGGTTCAAGTCTCATTGATTCATGACCAAAGGCGTCTTTATATGGGTAAGACATTGAGTTTAAGTCCTAATGCACTATAGTGATGATATGATGATGACTAACACAAAGTTGTATACTTTTGACTGAAAGTCATGGAATTTGTCCAATTAATTTGCTCCATTCTTTTATGTGAATGTGGTAGCAGTGCATAATATGTCTGAAAAATGACAAGTGGTTCTATGTATGAATATGAGTATGGTAAAATGTTAATGATCATCATTGTTGTAATTAAAAGGAAGAACATTATGAGTTCTTAAGATGGTCCTTCAAATGTGAAGGTAATTTTGTCCATCAAAGTGGTATGAAAGGTTATTGGGCACATTTTTTCTTAAGATGGTCCTTCTAATGTGAAGGTAATTTTTGTCCATCAAATTGGTATGAAAAGATATTGTGCACATTGTTGTTGATGCAACCCAATTTGAAACGTTTTGTAAATTCTCCATCAAGGTAAAAGAATACAAAGTGGTAGTACATTTGACCTCTTAAAGTGATGTTGAGGTGAGTCACATAAATTTGATAATGCCAAAGCATGACAATGAGTTTCTCATAAAAACTTATAGAGCATGTACAAATGGTTATGGTCCATTTCTTGAAGAAAATGTGATTTGTGTTCGTATGGATAAGAACATGTTTATGTATTGATGGATAAATGTCACATCTCACCTCTACGGGAGGTTTGAGAGATTGAAAAAAAAATATTTTGACATAAATGGTCATTTTGGTCATATACTTTGAGTACTACACAAATATTGTGGTATGTTTTATCATGAACTATTGGAGGACAAAAGAAAGAAATAAATCTTTTCTATAAAAGTTGTGGCCATGATCAAAATAAATATTGTTGTGTGACAACACAAATTTGTCATTGGTTGTCAAGAAATAAGTCTTGCATGTGATAATTTTAACCATGACAATAATAATAATTTTCTCCTTGAAGGAGATGGTCACCATAAAAATGGCATTGTGAAATTTGTGGTAGTACACAAAATTAATTGAGAGTTCCGAAAGGGCTAATTTGTTACTAGTCGGAGGAATGAAATTGTTCATAATATTGGGGTTGTAGTAAGTCTCAAAAGAAACTTTAAGTTTCGGAAGAATTGAAAAGAAAAAAATATTTTATTGAGACTATAAATTATGGAAAGATTTAATATCTTCAAATTACTACAACCAAAGTGGTTTATAAATATTTATGTATAATATTACCCATTTTTTCCCCGTTGTTTGTTGTATACAAATATGGGCATGATGATGGAATCACATGCAAAAGTAAACTAGAAGTTTACTAGAATAAATATAAGTTGGCATAATCGGTTGGCCATTCCGATTCAAATGTGATGCAAAAGAAATTGAGAATTCATGTGACTATCTGTTCGAAGAAATAAAGATTCTTCAAGAATTCTCTTGTGTTGCTTGTTCTCATGATAAAATGATCATTGTACTAAGGTTGGGATTGTATCCCCTGAAATTATTTGGAACATATAAAAAGGTGAATATGGGCCCGTTCACCTGCCATGTTGACCGCTTACTATTATGATTTAATAGATGCATCTATGGTATGGTCACATGTGCATTTGTATCAACTTACAAATTGGTTTTTGTAAGGTTCTTTGCTCAAATTGTTAAATTAAGAGCACAGTTCCAAACTATAAAATTATGTTGATAATACCGGTTGGTTTACCATTGATTATGAGAACAAATCTCTCAAATAAAATTTGGTATGAAATGAGTTTATTTAATGTGTATGCATCAAGCCAACAAGGTTCTCCCATCACAATTGGTTCAGGGTCAGGAATCAAATAATTTCCATCTAAAAAAAATTGATGTGTGCACATATGATTTTATTGCTCCACCACACACAAAGATGGATCCCCAAATGAGGTTGGGGGTAAATGTTAGATTCCTAACAATAGGGGGAGATATGTTTAGCAGTTGAAAATTATGTGTGGGGTGAATTATCTAGATCCTCGTTAAAAAAAATATATATGAACTTGAAGTTCACGAGATAATTCATTTGCAAAATGTTGCAAATAATTTGCCAGATATATTTGTTGACCCAATATTTTAATTAAGCTACAAATGCTCTAATAAATAGTCTTTAAAGGATAGAGTCTATGGTACGCCAGAAGCGTGATAGACCAATCGATTCCAAACGTAAAACTCCTTGGGGAAGGAGAGGAGCAAATTATCAAAATGGTCATGATAATGAGGTAAGTGCTTTGAAAGAGCACTATGACATAACACTTTATAAAACCTTGACAAATGTTGAGGTACCTGAAAACGATGATAAATGAAGAGATCTCGATAAGTTATGTCGTATTGGAATCGATATCAAAATGACCGTCGATGGTATCTTTGATATGAAGTAGCATTCAATGCTATAAATGGTTACAAGGATCTTAAATTTGAATCTGTCATATAGTGTTGACAGATAAATGATTGGCACTATTCAAGTATATTTTGTTTCACTTAGAAAAGTGATATTTTTGATCTTATAGTTCATGGATCAAAATATAATGTCAGTGTAGTACAAATGAATCATTGTGCGAAAGTATAACCGTAAGAAATAAAGTGCGGTTTGTGCCTCGGGGCATAAAGGGTTTCGCAAAAATCCTGACATTATTAAATGGAGATATATTCTTCAATGGTGGATGCAATGAGACTTGTTTCAATCTGGAAATAGATGAAATACTTGAATATGCATAATGAATGATTATTATGTCTAACTAGACGATGAAGTTATATGAAAATACTTGAAGGATTTAAAATGCCTTAAAGCAATTCAATTGAGTACCCAATGGTTTTGAGATTGCTTAACACAAAGAAAGAATCTTTTTGATCTCATGAAAATGATTTAAAATGTCATGTATTAGTGCAATTGGTGCACTTACAGATTGATGGTTATACAAATGCTAGAAGATTATTTGATATAAATATAAAAAATTATGAGAGGGGATTGCCATATTATCAGTCAAGTTATGCCAAGAAACTAACAAAGAAAGTAACTCAACACATAGAAGATGTGTGATTTTCTTTCAGAAGAAAAGACGAGCTTCAATGAAATTGAAATGATCAATCTCAGAGTCAGAAATGATTTGATTATGTATATGCAAAATATTTATTTGATCTGCATAAAGCTCGATCGCAAATGTACTATTATTTACATATGGAGACACAACAATATCTTGGCATTCAAAGAAACAAACATTGGTAACCACTTCTTCAAATCATACAGAAATAATATTGATTTATGAAGTAAGTCGGGAGTGTGTATGGTTGGAATCATAATCTATCATATTCAGAAAATATGTGATTTTCCTTTGGCGAAGGATATTCTAACCACCATATACGAAAATAATATATAGCTCAATTGAAGGGAGGATACAATCAAAGGAGGTCAGACAAAACATATTTCACCAAAAGTATTTTTCACACATGATCTTCAACAAAATGGTGAGATAGACGTTCAAAGACCTATTCAAGTGATATCTTGTAAACTTATTCACTAAGGATTGCCAACATCAATATTTGAGAAGTTATGATATAAGATTGGAATGCATCGTCTCCGAGATATCAAGTAAAGTTTTTATCAGGGGGAGAAAAATACGCGTTGTACTCTTTTTCTTAACCATGGTTTTATCCCAATTGGGTTTTCCTGGTAAGGTTTTTAACGAGGCAACATTCAAAGCGTATTAAAAGATATGTGTACTCTTTTTCCTTCACTAGGATTTTTTCCCACAGGGTTTTTTCCTAGTAAGGTTTTAACGAGGCATATTATCTATGGACATCCAAGGGGGAGTGTTATAAAATAATATATTGTGGATGTCCACTACATCAAGAAGTTACTCCATACTTTCCTCCATTATGAAGATAACCATAACCTCCATAACCTCCACCTTTATAACCATTATTCTTGTAACCTTTCACTTCCATAACCTCCCCATTATATTCATGTTAATGTCATGTTTATGACTAACCTTTTGTATGCCTCTATGTTACACTATAAATAGAGGCATAAGGGTTCATATTGTATAGACTTGAAGATTTGGTGTACACTTGAAAG